GATAAAATATGTTAAAATGTTTTAAAAAATAAATTCTATAAGCTTTTAGTATTAAAAATAAAACAAAAATTATACGTAAAAATGTAAACACAAAAAGCTTCAACTATTTGATACTTTTATCAATTTCTATTTCATAATATTATGATATATATAACCTAAAGAAATATTTTAATCTAAAAATGAGTATGTAGGCGATAAAAAAAATGTTATTTATAAAGTATAAGTAATAAAATTCATGCATTTTGCATTTTATATAAAACTTTTCATTTATAAACTTTATAAATGTTTCAAAAATTACTCATGTTTCCAAAATTCAAATGAATTTTTTAGCATATTTAACAAATGTGTCGCATGAGAGAATAAATGCTGGCTGTTTGCAATTAATTTATTTTTTATTGTTTATACATATATACATAGTGTCGTACATATTATATTACAATATTGCATTAGCGAATACGATGAAATATTTACGAAGTTCATTGAACTGATTGATATTAATTGCTACATTATATGTCAAAGAGTACCTGTGGTTTGAGAACACCGGCCAAAATCCCAACATCAATGGGAAACTCGGCTAGCTTTTATTTTATGCAGAAAGCCGTTTTAATTATTTTGAAAACATATTTTTCAAATATAATAGATTATATATTTTTTTGTAAGTTTTATTATTTTTATTTTTAATAAATTTTGTTGTACATAGAATAAGAAAGAAGAAATTTTATATAATATTTGGATTTCAATATTGATTGCATTTACACTTGAAATATATGTTATAAATTCATTTGAATTTTTTTTATTACCATTATCTTTACCTACTAAAATAAGTGCATATTTCACTATTAATTAAAAAGAAATTTTAACAGATATAAACTAAAGGATTTTATAGACATTATTTATAAGAATAAGTAATATTAAATTTTTGCTTACCTTTTCACCACTCGAATAGAAAAAGTACAAAAGTTTTACAATATTACAATGTTCCAATTTACGCATTATTTGCAATTCACGATTCTATAAAATGAAGCAAAATTAAATTATTAATAATAGATTTGAAATAACAAAACAAAAATATTAATATTTACCTTAAATCGTCTGTCTTGTAAAACTTTTTTAATCGCTACCAGCTCCCCTGTGTCGCATAGTTTAGCTTGAAAGACTACACCGAAACTTCCATTGCCAATCACCTTTGTATCTGTGTAGGAAACTTCTTGTACACGGTCGGTACCTTGGCCGGGTGTTGCAACCACTGTAGTAACCTTGGAACCATCTCTGCCTAAAATTTCAAGAAAACAAAACCACAAAGTTGTTTATCAAAATTTAAAAAAATTCTTATAAATAATCGAATATAATATCATAATAAACGAAGTAAGGTACAAGAAAATTATATAGAAACTTATATAAATCACAAAGTTCTATAATCAACTATCATATAGCACATATATATATAATTATATATTTTATTTAAAAGCTTAAACCAATAATCATTAAAAGTTTACTGAGAATAAAATTAAGTTGAATGATATAGTGATAATATATACATATATATAGATAAAAATGTATTTTACCGAGCTATAATTTTTATTCCATATTATGCTAAAATAGAACTAATTTTATATCTCATTATCAATAATCATGCGGTCACTAGAGACATGATTATGTTGTGGTTTTTGTAGGCATTATATTTTTTTGGAACAAGTCGTAAAGGGATGGATCTTAATCATAAAATATTTACCAACAACAAACCAATTGGCAAGTGGTTCTACTATTATTTTGGGATGCGGTCACTAGAGACATAATTATGTTGTGGTTTATATAAGCATTATATTTTTTTGGAACAAGTCGTAAAGGGATGGATCTTAATCATAAAATATTTACCAACAACAAACCAATTGGCAAGTGGTTCTACTATTGCTTTGGGATTGATGATTATAGAGGTCAAGTTTCTTCAATTGTGTAATGTTTTTATCGGTTGTAGGGGTTGTAGCAAAATAATATCGAGATATTGATGATTTCTCGACCATTTGCTACCGCTAGTGAACTCATTCAATCTATAGTTATATACAAATCAGTTGACAGGGGATACTAATTTCTCTGTATGTAAAAGTACATATAGATATTAAAAGTACTTAAACAAACGCGGATATCTTCAGTTACAAATTTTCAGTGCTTTCCTGCCAGAATGTACATTTTTAATCAATATGAAGATATTGTCTGTCTTGTCTGGTAAATAGCCTAAATAATTTTTGAGCTAATCGAGTTCAGACTTATTAGATTCATAAACCCCAGCAGATTAGGTCCTGAAAAATAACTGCCGAAAATAAGTTTCATTCAAGAAGAAAAATTTTGAATTACTAATAATTAGTTTCTAGAACCCGTATCTAATTTTTACATGCATTTTTAAGTCGTAATTTAAAACAATCTCTAAATTTACTTTGATTAAATAGGTATGTGAAATAAAGCTTTTATTACGTAAGAAATATTATTTAGAAATAAACGATCTATTCCGGGAAAAAAATCAGATATCAGCTTAACTGATAAGACAGTGTACACAGTGAAGTAACATTGAGCAGTAGAGGATACAATCTATAATATGAGCAGTAGAGCCATATTATATGTGTAAAGGAAGAAAACTTTCCATTCACTTTTTGAGTATTTATCTGACAATATACATTCAAGTGTCTTCACAGTGGCATATCTATAGAAAGAAAAAAAAATTTATTTTTTAAAATAGTTTTTCAAAGAAGTGATAATTAAAAACATTGCTAACAATCGTTGCAACATTTGAACATAAGAACATTTTATATTCTTAAATTTTTTAATGGGAGCTAAATTCACAATTTATTTAAGAAGAAACCTGGATGTGAACAAATACGATAATAGTATACAATTATATTGTTAAAGTAAAAAAAGAATTAAATATAGGAAGAGAAGAGATTTTAAACATACCAACAGTTTCTAACTTTCCCAGGCTGTGTATTACTGCACCTTCCATTTGGCGGTGCTGAGGATCTTTGGTTGATGTTATAAGAGACGTTATAAATATTGCAATTTAACTAAATATTTTAGTAAATTGATTGCTGCTCTATTTTGATTTCACATAAAATTATTTCGCTTACATTATATTTTTATATAAATTTTATAATCAATTTTTTCCATTTTGACAATTCGAATAGAAAAACAAAAAGTCAACTTTGAAGTTTTATTTTTAATTATTTTAAAAATTAATAAAATGTATTGTACACTTTAGTACTTTAACTAAAAAAATTTATTTAAAATTTTTGTATTACTTGGAAAAGAAGTAATAAACAAGTTAGTTCTTTAACTTTAAGCCTATCATCAGATCAATAAATTTGATTAATAAATTATACCATATTAGAAGAAAAAATATCTATCTTTGAAAATCTAAACGTAAGCATTGGTTCCAAGAACAGACCGATCCACGAACCGAGTCCGACGACAAAGTACCATTCGCCACAACAAAAAGGAAATACACAAGCAGATCCCTACTGATAACAACAACAATAACAGTTTAACAACATTTCTGAAGAGAAATAAATTAAATCATACAATAAAAAAAAAAATTATAAAGAAAAAATACTGTTTGAGAACTCAAAGCAATAATATCCAAAATAGTTCACCTCAGGACGCACAGAAAGATATGCTGATCTACGGTCCGTCATCAGTTAAAAGATAAATAAATTATAATAATTCTACTATAGTTAAAGCTTAGTGTGGGGCAGCGATAAGCCCCCCAAACCATAAAAGAGTAAATACCGCAATAGCACTAACTCAAAGCAGAACAACAACAACAACAACAACAAAATAGTCCTCGTAAGAATGTACGAGTAAAAATGTAAGAATATCAAAGGCACTCAGTCAAACCAAGACATTAACATGCCAATAAAGTAGAAAAAGGATATTATCTAAAACAATAATCTAATCTGTGTAGATTTATCTAGAGAACAAGCTAATAAAATAACAACAACAAAATATTTCTCGTAAGAATGTATGAGTAAAAATGTAACAATATCAAAGGTCACTCAGTCAAACCAAGACATCAACATGCTAATAAAGTTGATGTCTTGGTTATAATCTAAGACATTATAATATTCTAATCTAAGATGAGTAGATTTACCTAGAGAAGAAGCTAATAAACTCATAAAATTTTTTGTTCTATAGGAACTGCAAATTTTTTGTTCTATCTTCTTCGAAGGAACTGCAGAATAGCGATTTATGATTAATAAATTAACTAATAAATATTAATAGATATTAACTAGTTGAACATTTCTTAACAGGCGATCAGTAGCATTAGCAGCACGTTCTTTACGAATATATCTTGAGGAAATATTGATATCGGTCCTCACAAAGCATATTGCATATTTTTCTCGTCCACACAATGAGCAAACACTGGGTGGGTTTACATATAAACGTTTACAAACACAGGAATCAATTGGTCTTGTGAAATTGATCAAGAATGTTTATATTTTATAGAGAAGTGGAAAAAAGGTTTCGCATTCATCACATTACACACACTATCTTATTACATATTATATTTAAAATAATATATGAATATATAATTATTATAATTGATGATGTGATGAATAAAATGATGATTAAATTTAATTTTAGTTTTACCTTCTGTTTCCCAACAACCTTCTAATTTCTCTTTACTTTCATCAATTTGTTTTGGAATGGAAAGTGCAACACTGTGTTCAGGCCATAAATCATTTAATTTTCCAATAAGCTGTTTCATGCCTAATATAATATTTTAATTTATTGCTTTATTTGTGCATTATTTGTGTTTAAATGACACAGACCAGACCACATTTTTATATAGATAAAAACAAATGTTATGAGAGTACAGGTGGTTGCCACTTTTTAATTATAAAAAAAAAACAAAAAAAAAAATAGCTTGCTTTCGTCTAATATAATAACGAAATTAATGGGTGTGATGAATATATTTGTTTTTTTTTTTTAATAATATATATTTTGTTGTCAAGCAATTAAAAGAATTATCTTATTAACAAATAAAAAGATTTATGTAAAAATAAAATATAAATGTTTTGTTTTTCATTTTCATTTTTAAATTTTCAAGGCATAAAAACAAGCGCAGCAATAAAATATCAACATTTTAAAAACATTATTATTTTATTAATATTTGTTTTAATTTTCATTTTGCGCCATGAAAAGGCAAAAGGCAGTTACTTTACTCAACAAATAAATGATTAAATTATTTTAAGGCCTAAGAAGATTAAATGCTAGTAACGTTGAACGTTGAAGAACATTAATAAATTATAAAGATAAGAGTTTTTTATTTTAACGTGAAATTATTTTTTTAAAAAAAATAATAATTAAAAATAGCATTCAGTCTTAATTAAGGGAAATCAAAGGGAAAGGGAGTGATTTTAAATTTAAAAATTATTACTATAAAATTGTCTTATATTTTGTTACTTAAATTAAATATAAGCCAAAACTTAATAATAATTCCTTGCCGATTAATTTTTCATCTTTTTTTTTTGGGTTTTTATTGGTATATTCCTAATGTTAGTGACATCTGCTTCATTGTCAGCAGCAATTGACAAGGTGCCTGGCAGGCGATTGCTCTATCAGACAAAAGTTCTAGTTTTGTCTTTCTTCGTATTACCCTCAGCTTTGACATTCAAACTATTCAAGACATTCAAATATATAATGAAATAGTATTTTTCTATTATTTATATTTAATTTCACATTACTTTGCTAATTATTTTTTATAATTGTTGTTGGCATTAAACAATATTTTTTTGGGTATATATATTTAATTGAAGTAGTTATCTATAATTTGATTTTTAATTAAAGAAGACACTTTTTTAATTTGATTAATACAGGGTGCTTTAATTATATATAATATATACATATATACATTTATTATCATTATATTATATATAATTTGATTTATGTATTATAATTATATTATATATAATTTTATGTATATATGTAATTATATATATATATGTAATTACTTTGGTATATCTACAATGACATTAAAAGAACAACAAGCAATTGGTTACGGAAGAGGCAATAAAATTCTATAAAGTAGGTTCTATACTACAACGCAACAGGGCGTTGTAGAGATTTACTCCAAATTCAGAAGGGGGCGTAATAGACCCGACGGTCCCAGTTCCACATCTCATAGTAATAATAATAATAAACTATCTTTATCTGAACTGTGCTTCTGTGCAATTTTTTTAACCTTTATCTTGGTTAGCATTCTTTTTTTTATCAATTATTTGGCTCTTTTTTAGTGAAATTGTGGCCTTTTTAACTTGCTCTCATTTCTTTGATTTTGTTATGCGATTTCATTTGCAATTATATATAAACAATTATAAATACTGTGGTATTTATTAATAAATAATAGATTATTTAAACTATGGTAGATATTTGTACAGCCCAATATTATATTGAAATATTAACTCTTATAAATTAATTATGAAAAATAATTCTTCTTCTTGAAAAAGAACATGGGCATCATTAAAAGTATGAAATGGTTATTCTTCGAAATTTAGGAGGATCGTTATAACATAATCTATGATAATTTACAAAATAAAATTGTAATTTAGGAAGTTACCTAAGTGTATTTATTACATATAATGCATTTATAGACATTATTTTTAAAAACATTAAAAAATGTATTCAATTTTATTTAACTGACTCTAATGATAAAAGTTTTGAGCATAGGTGGACTTATGTCACAGTTGCAGTATACAAAATGAGATAAAATTTTGACATATATCACATTAATGCATTTATTAAAAGTTTTTATATATATTATCTAGGTAAAATTTTAGAGGCTTCAGGGTTTTATAGCTTGTATTGTAAATATCCACTAGAAAGCAATACGCACAATACCCGTCGTATTATCAAAACCAAATAGGTTTTCATAGAAACTAAGAAAAAAACTTTGGTTCCAATAAAATAACATGGTTAAACATAATTTAATATAAATTTTAAAGATCGATCATATCTAATAATGAAAATGTAAAACTAGGCTTATTTTAACCTAATAAGATAGAGGGTAATTGATAACAGAATAGTGGATTTTGTATAATTATATAAAATAAATAAATAAATAAATAAATAAAATTTATTTAATTGTCTTTCAGGCCTACACTCTGCGATTAAGACAAAAAGTTAAAGAACAGAGCATGAATCTTTATCCTTATTTAATGTGTAGTTACAAAGAAAATCACTTGATAGTACACTTAAAGAGGGTTCTTAAAATAAAATGTGGTTGGTGTAAGTACAGATTTACAAAAGTCGTCAGCTTTACAAAAGTTGTAGATATACAATTTTAACTATAAAGTAGTTTATATATATTATTGTATTTTTTTAGTTAAAAATTGATTGAAATAATTTTTAACTTTTAAACTATTGCTTAGTATTTTCTTTATTTTTTTTAGAAAGGGTTGTGTTTTTGTTACAATAATGGATTTAAATTATATATCATACATGTCAAAGAGGTTGGGGGATGTATTTTATAACCACACTATTAAATGGATTGCGATTTTTATAAAAGTAGCGTGCGTTTACCACTTTATTTTTACTTTAGATTAAAATGGGAAGGATGGAATAATTTCCGTTACGTCAAATAAAATCTAATATTATAATAAATTTTTCGTTTTAATAATTTGTGTAGTTGATTATTATTTCTGTGAAAATTAAATTTATTAAAGGCGAAATTTAAAATTCCGATAACAATCGACAAATTGTCGTCAATTGATTTATTTGCGTCAAAAATTGTCAACAACATAAAAGGCATGTGTCACTTCCAAAGTCAAAAAGGTTATAAGTGATTGATTATTGTATGTACAGCAATTAAGTTATATGGTAAGTGTATAAATATATAGACTAAATGTCGCCGAAGAAGTTAAACACATTAAACTAATAAATTATCATAAATTAAAAAGTAGAAAAATAATAATTATATTTAGTATTTATTTAGTTGAGAATTAAAACTATTTTTGGTTATTGAAAGGGGAGTGGTTGGTATGCTTTATAATGAAGTCATTTGTTTTTTTTTTTTTATGTTCCTAATACATTTATTGGTAAATTATTCTATTTTATATTTTTTATAAATCTCATAACATTTGTTTTTTTTTTTTTATATTATTTTTATTGCATAAATGCTATGCAAATATATATATATATATATATTATACTTGGATCTGCATATCGTTTTGAGTTGGTACGCGTGACAGGTTTAGATAATTTGTTGCCATTTAATTTTGACTTTGTTGTAGTTCGTGATGAAGGTTTTGTACTAGAAGTAGTTGCGGTTGTCGCTGACGTGTCCGATGTATCGCTTTCAGACGTTGTTGACGTTACTCCTGTATCAGTCGATTTAGAACTTTTGGAATTAGAATTATTTGTACTGAAACTATTACTTTTATTTACTACTTTTGATTTTAATGGTAACTTAGAATTTTGTGTTTTAATACTGTTATCATTATTATTTGTGCTTATATTATTATCTTCATTGGCATCGTCAAATGAACGTTGTATGGAGGCATTTGAATTTTTACGTTCTGAGCCCGTATCCGTTTCACTGCCACCAACGCCATTGGCTTTCTTTTTTTTGCGTACAATTTTTATAATTTTACGCGGACGTACCCCCGTTTTAATCACTTTGACGGTTTTTTTTTGCAGTAACTTAACAAAAAGATATATATCTATATATACTTGTATATAAGTATATATAATGATTATATAGAAAATTTAATAGTTTGAAGGCTATTAAATGCGCACTACCACCATAGCATAAAATACGCTTTTGTGTTTTTAATGGGTTTTTTTTTTCAAATAACTATTAAATTTTTTTTCACTTTTTATATAAAATATTGTATTTTTTATTATATTTTAGTTTTATTGAAATTTGTGTTTTTTTCTTTTTTTATTAATTATTTAGAGGCGCCACATTAATTTTTGACTTTAATAAAAATTCTTTTCAAAGCGTAAAGTTAATTACACCGACAGAGATAAACTGAAACTAGTCCAAATTACATTGTACAAATGCATAAGACCCTCAATAAAATTACCTTTCTAGCAATTATTTTATATAGTCTCGTATATATATTTTTTTATTTTAATGAGAATTTGTTAAAAAAATGAAGAAGAAATAATGCCACACGTTTGCGCATTTTTTTTTTAAATAGTAAAATGCAATTTTATTTGCCAAAACATTTCAGCGAATTTCTAGTCTTTCTACTCTTTTCTCCTTGGTCGAAGCATAAACGTTTAAAAAATTGTAGTGCTTTTAGAATAATATTTTCAAATCCGGCAAATTAAATAAAAAAAATAATATATATACACGAAAATATTGTTATTTACGTATAAATTTTATAACAATTTTAAAAGAATTAATTGCTCTAAAATTATTAAATTTATCAAAAGAGCACACACAAATTTTTAATATTTAAACAAATTTATTTAAAATAAAAATTTTGAAAAATGTATGATATGTGCATACTTTAGAGGTACTAAAGTATATATTATATATAGAACTTTTATGGAGCATGCGATTTAACAGTTGTTCCAATTCCTAATAATATTTCACATGTGCAATTTATAGTTGTACTTGTTTTTTATAATATTTTAAAGAATATAAAAATAGTTTTTTTATAATTCAAAAATTATAAAAAACCACCTATAGTACATAGGTATATATAAACAATTGAATTCGATACCAATATTTATAAAAATACTGTAATATCTTTTAATAAGCAGATGAAAAGTCATTTGTAACTATTATAAGATAAGAGTTTGATTGAAAAACGTAATACCAATTTTTATTATTTTATATTTCAAGTAGTTTAGGTTATGCTGCGAGACCCTATAAACCACTTAGGAGTGTAGGACAGCAGTATGTAAGTAAGGTTATGCTGAGGATCCTAAGACCTAATCTCTGTAAGAACTATCTAAAGTTTAAAAGCTACTTGAAGCTCTGGCAAAGCTTAAAATGCTCTTTAGAAGGAGGTCCTAGAGCTGGTCAAGATCCTTAAAAAAGGAAGTTCCAAGTACAGTCTATCGATGCTGCGCATGTGGTGGGCAATAACAAGGAATATATAAGGTACTTTTATCGTCCTTCACACAACTGCGATAGGAACGTTTAAACGGGAGATTAAATATTATAGCATGGTTTCCTAAACGGCTATAACCTATCATAAGACTGATATCTTTATGAAAATTCGCTATGAAATTGCTGGATTTTATCTCAGTTTTAGATAGTTACTAGTGGATTTTCACTATGCGACAATTTTATGCTGTGACCAAAACTAAATCTCTGAATTAGATGTAGAAAGTAGTATAAAAACATAATCCGTTTTATAGCAAATTTTTACAATTTTAATAGTGACATATATCACTATGAACTTTTTGGGGGAAAAAAAATAAAATAATTAACTCTATATTAGTATATTACTAATACTTTTTTAAAAGTTACTTAGTCAGTTTGGTTTTTAGAGCAAACAGTACTGATGATAAATAATTATTTCATAGATTTTGTGAAGAACAATTTTATTGGTAACTATCTAGATAATAAATGGTTCTAGAAGCTTCCGTAAAGAAGTGTCACTAACAACACTTGCAAACAATCAAGTTGTAAAATAATTAATTACAAATAAATTATAAAATTAATTTATTAATACAATAACAAAAGGTTAATATCCTTTTTGTTATTCAAATGAATATCGCATGCATTATATTAGAAATTACATGCAATTTTTATTGAATGAGGTTTGGTTGGATTATAATTATATAGCTTTAACAAATTATTCTAGCATGCTATATATTTGCATATGTTGGTCGTGAGTTTATTATATTTGACATCAACTTGTATTGTAGGTGCAGTCAACCGTTTTTATGAATTTATAAAAATGCAATCATTTGCTTAAAATTCAATTAAATTTATATGCTCAAATTAAAATATTGTTGGCAGAAATTATGAGAAAATTTATTTAAAAGCAATTAAAATGCAATATAAAATTCATAAATTTTAGTTTTAAGTATAAGAACAGCAGCAGGTAAAAGCGCACAATAATTAATGAAAGGAAATGGATAGAAAAAAATCTCATTCTTAGAAAAGTAAAACTATTAAAACTTATAATTTGTTTACATTAATAATAATTGTTGTGGGAAGAAGATAAATTATCAAATTAATATAAAATTATTATATATATAGTTGACAACAAAAAAATATTTTTAAGCTTTTGGTTGTGGCAACAAAATATTTATAATATATTTTATTTACAAAAAAGATAATATTCTAAGAATAGTAAAATATAAACGTAATTAAAATTTGTTTATTATATTGCCTAATAATTGTTAATAATAACACAATAATTTGTGTTTGCATAATTTTATAAGTTTATCGCACTTAATTTAATAACAAATACAGTTGGCACGTGCGCTTCTAGAATAATAAATATATATACGAGTATATAATCAAACTAAACAAAAATATAATTTATTATAGTGCGGTAACTATTTTTATGTATGACAATATAAATCGTAGACTTATATCATTCATGCAGTATAAGTTGTAGATTTATACTATTCATTCAGTATATATACAGTCTGAATCGTAGATTTTTACTATCCATTCAGTATGAGTCGTAGATTATATACAGCATGAGTTGTAGATTTTTACTATTTATTCTGTATCAATCGTAGATTTATACTATATATACATACTGTAGAATCTTAAATTTTTATTAAAATAATAATTTATAATATATATTAAAAATTAAATAGTAAATAAATAAAAAAAAAATACTGTACTATTCATTCAATATGAATCGTAGATTTATACTATATATACATACTGTAGAACCTTAAATTTTTATTAAAATAATAATTTATAATATATATTAAAAATTAAATAGTAAATAAATAAAAAAAAATACTGTACTATTCATTCAATATGAATCGTAGATTTATACTATATATACATACTGTAGAACCTTAAATTTTTATTAAAATAATAATTTATAATATATATTAAAAATTAAATAGTAAATAAATAAAAAAAAAATACTGTACTATTCATTCAATATGAATCGTAGATTTATACTATTCATTCAGTATGAATCGTAGATCTATACCATAAATACAGTATAAATCGTAGATTTTTACTATTCATTCAGTAAGAATCATAAATTTATACTATTCATAATGTCAGAACGCCAAATCTAGCACCGATAAAATTCAAATTTAAATGGAACTTAGTTAAAATTCCATAGTATATTAAAAATAAAGATACTCATAGAGGGGCATAAATTGATATGATTAAAAAATACATGAAAAATAAAGTAGAACTGTTTTATCAAAAACAGATTAGGAGATATATGTTTAAGGTATTAACAGATTAGATAAAGTTGTCTTCCAACTTGTAAAAGTAAAATTTTATTTTATTTCTACATATTTTTTTATTTTTTTCTGGGACAAAAACCAAGCCAGTCTTTATAATAATATGTGGATACATATTAATAGTTCAATTATGCTATACTTATATTATACAATTAACATATTATTTAAATAAATAATAAAAAAAATTTATATCGAGTTTCGTTTTTTGAATAATGATTGATAAATTATATTTAATTAAACTGTTGAAATTGTTCTATACAATATTTATCCTATAAAAGCAAATATTGCTTTTAATGGGAATCGGAACGATCCCAAAATAATAAATATGTCAACCATGTTTTCTTCATAACTTCTCCTTTCTTATTTAAAAATATCTAACATATGCGTATTTATGTTATAGATAATGGTCATATTTTTTGGATGTGTATATAATCTCTTAAGTAAATATGTTATCCAGCTGTGTAGGATGCTATTCGTAACAATACTATTATAGCTAACTGACTACTGTATAGTCAAATTTTTAATAAGAAAAAAATATAAGTAAAAAAAATATATTTAACATTTTTTAAGAATTTAAAATATTATACTAAATATACTAATATTATATTACATTCAACTTAATCTTATGACCCTAAACAGTGAGTTTTAATTATTTACGTCCTCATGGACGTATTTATGGCAGGTATGCCATCATTGATTTATTTATGATTTTTACTGTAATTAATTAGTTCCTAATATCAATGTTGTCTGGGCATTGTTAAAAGCAATGTACTGACGGCATGGACTTATAACCACCAAGCTGGTTATGGGTTCATGTGGGTGACAGCACTCTAATTGGAGATTTGGACGCCATACAAATGAAACAATAATTGTTTAAATAATTTTGTTAGATATTATGATGTATTATTAATCAGTTAAGGAATTTGCATTGCGGCTAGGAGCTTCATAAATTGCAGTATTAAACCTACAGACTTTTATTTCTACATCCTATGTTATGTGAGATCTCACATATCTCCTTATTTATTATCTGTTATGTGACAAACTTTCAGTATTTCTTTCAATGATTCTAATGTATGTATGTTCTGATGAATATTTTTTAATAACTTGATTTAAATTTAAGGGTTTTATGAAGAGGTTTTTTCGAACAGTAGTGAACTACAACAACAAAAATTTTATTTTTTTTATTATTTTAAATAATTGAATTTTTGGCTGACCATACAGCTGTTTCGTTTTATTTAATTCTAATTTATTTAAGTTTTATTTAATTCCTTAACTAATATCTAATAAATTTATCACCAAAAATATTGAAATATGTATGA